AAGCGCGAGGAAAATCTGTGCTAAAACTGTTACTCGTCAGTTGCTCAGTAACGTTTTTGTGAATTTTTTTAATTAATTTTAAGCTAAATTGTGCTTTGTTGGTATAATGTCTGCTAGGATGTAAAAAAAATGTTCAGTGTTAATAAAAAAAAATTTAATTGTTGTTTTGTAATTGATTTTTTATTTGAAAAGCAGGACAAAACAGTAAAAAGCCCATTTTGGCAATTTAATTAATGCAATTGTGAAAAAAATTGCAAAATAGGCCTACATGGGGGAAAAATGTGAAAAACCGTGTTCGGTATTCGGTATTTGGCCTTCGGCCCAGTGTTTCATTTTGTTCGGCTTTGGCTTCGGCCTAGAATTTTCATTTCGGTGCATCCCTAATTTTCCTCATTCACTCTCAAGGTCCTTCACACTGACAGCGATGAAATCTCTGGAGGCCTCCCAGAATTTTCTGTTGGCTTCTTGTCGATTGCTCAACTTTCTAGTCAACTGTCTGTACTCCCATCGGTAGTCGCAGCATCACGTCGCTGCTCATTTGCATTAAGTTGTCTCTTGTGTTGTTGAAAATCGACATTGCTCATTGAAAACGAATGACTGCCGGTTGTTTTGCAGCTACAAAACGCTGCCGTTCCTTCACTGACAGGGCGTGCAAAATGCAGTGAAAGGAAAAAAGATGGAGGGATTTGAAAAAAGAAAGAAAGAGCCTAAATTGTAATGTAAACATGAGGATTATTCATCTTCATCCTGCTTGATAATACTCCCCACGTGATTCCAGGGCAGGACAGATGATGTTGAGGGGTTCAGAGGAGATTAAATGGCAGGTGGCTTTTTCTCTCTATCTTTCTGTAAATATAAATCATTATTTTTATTTAAATAAAATTTTGTTAAATTTTTTTTTGGGATTGTTGCTAAATTTTGCTTTTAGTTGCTAAATCTAAATGAAACATCTTGGATTAAATCTAGATTACAGTTCTTGATCATGCAATAACTGTTCAATTTTGAAAAAGTTTCCTAAACATTTTTTTTTAGTATAGTTTTTTTAAGTAGCTTTGTTATGTGCTTTTTTTTATTAGTTTTCAAAAACATATATAGCTATACATCTTTCATTTTTATAGCTTTAGACTATAGCTTTATTTCAGTTCAGTTCATGTGGACTACTTTTATGATGCGTTCAAGGTGTTTTGTCCTTTTTGCATATTTTCATAGCCATTTATAGCACTTTTTTGTATAAAAACAAAAAAAAATGCAGCATGGACATTCTTTGAGAATTTCTCGTTTTGACTTTTTCAGAAGAAAAATAAAGTCATACGGGTTTGGAACGACTTTAATTTTTGGTGAACTATTTTCTTAAGTCTTTTCAAGGGTTCTCTCTCACATTCCTCAGTGGTTTGATGTGTTTCCAGTAATAACCATATATGGTATCTCAAGCGTTTGAACACTCTGGAGTGATACACTGAAAAGAAATGCCAGGAGATAAACCGTTCTGTAAAATAAAATGGAAGATAATAATAATGTTAATAATAATTACCCTACAATAGCTCTATTAATACATTTATTATAACATTCACACATAGTGTTCAAATTGGGATCTGTAATATATTCTAATGTTTTAAAAGAAGTCTCTTCTGCTCAGCAAGGCTGCCTTTATTTGTACAGTAAAAAATACATGCCTGATTCAAGTCTCAAAAATGGCCAAATAATATTATTTTACTAACTTAATTTTAAGCTAAATTGTGCTTTGTTGGTATAATGTCTGCTAGGATGTAAAAAAAATGTTCAGTGTTAATAAAAAAAAATTTAATTGTTGTTTTGTAATTGATTTTTTATTTGAAAAGCAGGACAAAACAGTAAAAAGCCCATTTTGGCAATTTAATTAATGCAATTGTGAAAAAAATTGCAAAATAGGCCTACATGGGGGAAAAATGTGAAAAACCGTGTTCGGTATTCGGTATTTGGCCTTCGGCCCAGTGTTTCATTTTGTTCGGCTTTGGCTTCGGCCTAGAATTTTCATTTCGGTGCATCCCTAATTTTCCTCATTCACTCTCAAGGTCCTTCACACTGACAGCGATGAAATCTCTGGAGGCCTCCCAGAATTTTCTGTTGGCTTCTTGTCGATTGCTCAACTTTCTAGTCAACTGTCTGTACTCCCATCGGTAGTCGCAGCATCACGTCGCTGCTCATTTGCATTAAGTTGTCTCTTGTGTTGTTGAAAATCGACATTGCTCATTGAAAACGAATGACTGCCGGTTGTTTTGCAGCTACAAAACGCTGCCGTTCCTTCACTGACAGGGCGTGCAAAATGCAGTGAAAGGAAAAAAGATGGAGGGATTTGAAAAAAGAAAGAAAGAGCCTAAATTGTAATGTAAACATGAGGATTATTCATCTTCATCCTGCTTGATAATACTCCCCACGTGATTCCAGGGCAGGACAGATGATGTTGAGGGGTTCAGAGGAGATTAAATGGCAGGTGGCTTTTTCTCTCTATCTTTCTGTAAATATAAATCATTATTTTTATTTAAATAAAATTTTGTTAAATTTTTTTTTGGGATTGTTGCTAAATTTTGCTTTTAGTTGCTAAATCTAAATGAAACATCTTGGATTAAATCTAGATTACAGTTCTTGATCATGCAATAACTGTTCAATTTTGAAAAAGTTTCCTAAACATTTTTTTTTAGTATAGTTTTTTTAAGTAGCTTTGTTATGTGCTTTTTTTTTATTAGTTTTCAAAAACATATATAGCTATACATCTTTCATTTTTATAGCTTTAGACTATAGCTTTATTTCAGTTCAGTTCATGTGGACTACTTTTATGATGCGTTCAAGGTGTTTTGTCCTTTTTGCATATTTTCATAGCCATTTATAGCACTTTTTTGTATAAAAACAAAAAAAAATGCAGCATGGACATTCTTTGAGAATTTCTCGTTTTGACTTTTTCAGAAGAAAAATAAAGTCATACGGGTTTGGAACGACTTTAATTTTTGGTGAACTATTTTCTTAAGTCTTTTCAAGGGTTCTCTCTCACATTCCTCAGTGGTTTGATGTGTTTCCAGTAATAACCATATATGGTATCTCAAGCGTTTGAACACTCTGGAGTGATACACTGAAAAGAAATGCCAGGAGATAAACCAGAGTTAATGATCTGCTGTTTCGCTAGAGAAAGCAAGAGCCCATATCTGCCGCGTTGATTTCAAATACCTCTCTTGTGTTCTTTGGGAAAACAAAGCTGTATTGTGTCCAAATTGATAAACACCATAATTTATTAATATCATGATTACTGCGAAGCCTCTTTAATTACCCTCAAGCGTCTTTGGGTGGGCAGAGCTGGGTATTGATCCATAAAGAGAGCTGGAATGAAACTATGAGATGAGTGATGAAAACAGAAAGAGAGCAAGATCAAGAGAAATGGAGCCAGTTTGCTGTTGTGACGAGTTAATCCCACAGTAAGAGCTTCAAAACAGAAATATTTTACTCCGAGCTGGCCTGACAAAAGAAGAAACAATGAGTCAGATACATGAGTGACAAGCAGAAGGAGCATGGGAAAAAGATAAATAGTAGATCAGCGAGTGGGAGGATGAATGGATGAGATGAGATGAGGAGACTATCAGAACTATCTAGAAGAAATGTACCACATTTGTAGCACAGGACTGAACTAAAGCTACAGCATGTCTCTGTTTTTTGGCGTCTGTTCAGTTTCTCATCCAGTACTGAGAAATTAAGTGATTGATTTAAGGCATATTACATTTACAGTAAAAGCAGGACTACATGCCTTGCCATCTAAATTGAATCTTTTTCAGTGACATGCTGGACTGAAATAAGGAAGCAAAATGTTCCCTTTCCTTTTTTTTTTATCCAATGTTTTTATACAGTTTGTAGGTTAAAGGCATTTGGAACACCATGTAGGCAATGTGTTTCAATTTAATGTAATTTAGGAGAAAAATATTTGAATGATTTTATCATGTGAATTTTAAGTATAGTATATTTTAATGTTAATATGTTAGGACATTGAGTAAATATGTTTAATGCAATGATTTAAAAAAATTATTGAAATTATTACAGTTTAATTTTTTATTCTGCTCTCTAAACGCTGGATATTATGAGATGATTTTTTTTCTAATTGTAATCGTGTCCTTCATAAGGCAGATATTTTTTAAAGTGACGTGACATTCAATTCTCAAGCAACATATTGCCTTTACAATGTCTTTTTTTTAGACAAATATTGAGCTACTTTATATTTTAGGAAGGGGCCCTTGCAAAAGAATCATCATGTTTGGGGGTCCTTGGGAATAAAAGTTTTGTATTATTTGTAATATTATAGTGTTCATTAATATGTTAGCTTTTATTTTTATGTTATGTTTTAATTTTAATTTTAATTTATGTTTCAGTAATTTAGTTATGTTTTATTTTTTCATCTAATGTTTTAATAATATTCTATTAAAATAATATTTAATATTTAAAAAAAGTATAAATTAAATAAATTATTTAATATAAAATAATATTATTCTATCAAATAATATTTTAGCTTTATTTCAATAAATAAAAACAATTTTAATAGTTTTAGTTAACAATACCAAAAAAAATGGAAAACTTCTAGCCTATTGTCTTTATGTTTGTATTTGGAAATTTAGGCTATATGTGCAGTTCAGAATCAGGTATTATTTTGTAGATGGCATATTCTGTGCAAGTTCTTCATAATGTATTTTACTTTGTCCTCTCTTTGTATTCTCTTTATAAGGTGGGCATGAATATTTCAAATGTGTTTGTCTATGAGTACGTTCTTTTCAGTCAGTCATCAGAATTTTGCCTTTCTATTTATCTCATCAAATCCTTCTCTGCTGTTCCACAAATCTGACCTGACCACACCACTCTAGCATATTTGACCTCTGGATGTCCAGACTGCTCCGTCTCCGTTCTCATCACAACCCCCCTTTACCTCCTACCCTGCTCTACCACCACCGGCCCACCCACCTTCTCCTCAATCTGCTCCATCGTCTCCACAGGTCGGGGATCAGATTCTGGAGGTTAATGGACGAAGTTTCCTCAGCATCCCACATGATGAGGCTGTACGAGTGCTGAAGTCTTCACAGCACCTGATGATGACGGTGAAGGATGTCGGGCGACTGCCACATGCCCGCACCGTAGTGGGTGAGACAAAGTGGATCACAAGCTCACAGATTACAGACAGCTCGGCCAGCAGCAGTGTCACAGGGTGAGTGAAAGGGGGTGATGAGAATGTGTGGAAACATGGAAAGTGTGAGAGATAAAGGAGTCATATGCATAGAAGGGAAAGCTAGTTCATTCCTGGATGAATCAGTGTGAATATAAATATTTCAGCCAAAAGGCTGAAAAATATTGAAAGATATTTTTTGCTTTGCTAAATCTGATTTGTCAGATTGCGCTGCTCACCCTCAGGCCATCCAAGACGGTGATATGTTTTTTTTTTCATCAGATCAGATTTGGAGAAATTTAGCATTACATCACTTGCTCACCAATGGGTCCTCTGCAGTGAATGGGTGCCGTCAGAATGAGAATCCAAACAGCTGATAAAAACATCAGAATAATCCACAAGTAATCTACATGACTCCAGTCCATCAATTAACATTTTGTGAAGTGAAAAGCTGCATATTTGTAAGAAATAAATTCATCATTAAGACATTTTTAACTTCAAATCATTACTTTTGGCCAAAAATACGAGTCGTCTACTCTGTAAATCTGTTTCGATGCAGAAAAAAAACTCATCTACATCTTGGATGGCCTGAGGATGGATACATTCCAGCAAATTTGAATTTTTGGGTGAACTATTCCTTTAATGGAGCAGAGCAGAAAAAGAATATTCAAGGTCTCCAACTAGATTAACTAGCTCTTGGCAATGTAATTTACTGACAGTTTTGATGGTCTCAGACATCCAGCAGGGAAGAAGTGTGAAACCACTAAAAATATCAGTACCGTAAAAATACAGGCCTACATATTTTAATATTGTAAAATCATACATTTCTAGAAGTGTATAAAATTCTAACACCCTCTATTGTACATTAAGCAATACTACTATTTCACCTAAGACAATTAGTATGCTGATTTGTTAATTTGTTCTTAAACACAGCACAAGTCATGTCTTGGTGGTGCGACTTAATGTTCTTTTTTAATAAATTAAAAATGTACAGTACAGTTCAGCCACAGTAATTTAATTAGGATTGAGGTGACGCTTCCAGGCATAGTTTAATTTACTGTTTTAAGAGCAGATTATTCAATAGATGAGTTTTAATGATTTAATTCTGAATATCAGCATCTTTCCAAACCTCCGGGCCATTCGCATTTAGAGGCCTGTAAATTGAAAGGAGTGTATTCATGGGATTATTCCAGACACTGCTGGTCTTTCACAGACTGTTTGGAGAATATGAACCTGTGAGTGTGTGCACAGCACACTAACAGGATCATAAAGCAGCTCAGGTGTGTCTTGTGCCAGTTCTCTGGACCTTCTTGTTAATGGAGGTTAGCTGATGAGGTGAGCCGGGTGCTCTGCTCTCATGCCAGGGGAAAAATGCAAGGTGGCATTTTATATAAAAGCTTATTATCAAGCTGGTGGTCTGGGGTACGAGCTCAATCCAAAGCCAAGGGTGGAACTGGCACAGGGTACATACTGGTACATATTGTACCAGTCATTGTTAATGACCAAATTGATAATTTGATAAATAGCTGTTCTTGATATGACTGCAAAATGCTTGCAGAGTAATACAGAGACATGAAGCACAGCTATGTTGGAAAGCGATTGTCTGGCACAATGTTCAATTATACAGTTTAGTGATCATTATACAAACATTTTTGACCAGAGAATGCAGCGATTGACCATTCAGCTGTGTGATAATGTAATGTGATGTAATGTAATGTAATGTAATGTGTAGGAATATATGAGAATTTAACCCCACTGTTAAAAATTTTAGGGTCGGTAAGATTTTAATGCATTTTAAAACTTAAAAATATATATTTTAATTTATTCAGCAGCCGTTGCTTTAGAGTCACTAAATCCTTCAGAAATCATTCTAATATGCTGATTTGGTGCCCAAGAAACATTTCTTATTATTTCTTATCAGTGTTGAAAACAGTTGTGCTGCTTAATATTTTTGTGGAAACTGAGATACATTTTTTTTTAAGATTCTTTGCTTAGTAGAAAATTCAAAAGAACAGCATTTATTTGAAATATTTTATAACAATTTAAAAGTTTTTGTCACTTCTAATCAAACCAAAACAATGGCCCATCATTTTCCCTTAGGCATCCAGACCTGATCGAAATGCTTAACTCTAAAACCAGAAGGTAGATCAGTTTTGTACATGGCAAGTGTGTCAGAGTCTCTGTATGACTCTACATCTGTTTGTGGACGTTCGAAGGGGTTGTAGAGCATGTATGGTATTGATTTCTCCATGTTTACCTCTCTCACATAGACTCTCTCTGGACCAGGGAGCATCAGCATCAGGAAAGGTGAGTACTTTGTTTCTATATTTGAACAGAATGTTCTCCACTGTTTGGTTTTAGCAGCGTTAAAAGAGTGAGTGAAATGGTGAAGGTGGTTTTTGAATGGCTCTCTGCAAATCCTGGTGAGCTCCAGACCATTTAGGATAGTTTTTTTATTGTCATAATAGAGTTGAGATTTAAAACGATTACAATTATTTGCTGAGCCTCTAAATGAAGATAATTAGTTACAGTACTACATTAATAATTATAGACATTACAAAAGTATTTTGTAAGTGCCAGAGCTTGATCAGAACATATACTTCTGAAAATGCTGTATACTTTTTGAATACTTTTCTGCAATACATGAAAGATATATTCATTTTTAAAAGGTACAGAGTTCAAAAGGTACTGAATAACAGGAATGCAACCTAATCAAATGCCTCCAGGATCTTTTTTGCAGGTCTGTTTATGTTCAAAGAGCCTCTCTTTTGTCCTCCATAGTGAGGATATATTGTTGTTATGCAAATGAGCCATAGTCAGTGATTAAGCTGCATAATAGATCAGACTCATGTATTTGCAGTGCTTTGATAACCTGAACTAAACCTGAATTAAAGAACTTACCTTAGCCAGACTAATCACAAGAGAAAAGGAGTCCGAATCACAGATCATTTCATATTTGCTCACATATCATTGTCGGTTGATATGGGAACGGCTAGGCAATCGCACACCTGTTCTTGTACTGCGGCTACAAAGAAAGAGGACATTTGTGAACAGAATGAGGAGAACAGAAGAACTGAAAGACATAGGAAGGACAAGAGATGGAAGAGAATGGGATGAGAGAGGAAGGTGTTATCGCTGTAAATTATCGTCTTGGTCTGGGTAAAGAGAGTGTCAGGTAGACGCTGCCAAGAGGCTTTGATCCCCCCGGGCATATGGTATCCAAGGTGATCTGTATTCAGACTGGTTTCCGCAAAAGACACATGCACTTAACATTCTTACCATCACTGTGTGTTTGTAAGACTCGTGTAGAGCTATACTGTAATATATATGAGAGAACAGGAAATAATAGAAGGGTCAGTTTGGTATGCGGTACCTTTTGAACTGCGACTTTTAGAAAATGAATAAGCTAAAATAAGTATTTCTATAAAAGCATATACCACACTTTCAGATGTGTTTTGATCAAGATCAGGTACTTAAACTTGATTAAGTAAAGTATTAAAGTTAGTCATTGGCAATAAAAACATATTTTGTTTAAACATTCTTCTGTTTAGGAAATGAAGGAACACCTGGAATATATTTTAGCAAATTGCCAGTTTAATTAGAGTAGCATCTGGGGACACAGAAAAAATATTAGTGAATTTATTTAAAATTATTACTTTGTTTTGATAAGTGAAAACAAACTAATATAATTTCGATCTATACAAATTGTGAGTATAATATGTATGAAGTGTATCAAAGGAATAGTTTATCCCAAAAGAGCTTTGAGTTTATTTACTTTAGCAATGCTAAGATTGAAAATTAATGCAGAAAGTACATTGAAAGAAAAATTTGCAAGAAAACACATAAATACAGAACTTGAGAAATATAAAAACAAATATTCAAAACACATTCAATAATACAAAACCAAATAATAATAAAAGATATACATTTGTGCACACACATCCATACACACACATACAATAACAATAGAGATTTTTATTTTTTATAAAATAAGAATTCTGTCATCCTTTCCTCAACCTCATGTCATTCCAAAACATATATGACTTTATTTCTTCTGTGAACATAAAAGGAGATCTTTCGAGAAATATCTGGTAACCAAAATAATGGCAACCAAAACTGTTTGATGAGAAATGAAGGCATAATATTCATTTCTGAGTGAACTATCTCTTTAAGATATATACGTTAGATATACATGAAAATGGCCTTCATAACGGGAATAACTCTTATGAAGAATGAAAAAATATGCATAGAATAGAGGGCAAGAGTAGAAGACATAAAAAGACAGGATAGGATAAGACAAGAGGTGGTGAGAATGTGAAAAGGAAAAAAAACAGCAAGGTGACCCACCCAATGAACAGGGTTTTACAAGGTCCTCCTCTAAGCCGAGGTTTATGCACAAAACAATGGATTCCTATAAAGTCTGGGCAGTGCGTGAGCACTAACTTATTACGACGGGGCTGATTATTGCATACAGTGGGAATGACAGGCTAAAGGACACGGTTAGATGAAGTGTCTGGGCTCATGTCTGTGGGCTCTGAGCTTTTGCAGTAAACTACTCACTTTGTATTCCAAAGACTCGCAGCTCCATGATGCTTCGGAGGACGTTGATAAGTTACATACATCAGTTTGTACGAGAAAGTCATAAATCACTCCTGATATGTAGACACAAGCGTGCAATTGTAAGTAAACACGCATACGTTATGCAGTTCCTATGAAATAACATTCAAATTACAGTTTATATTATAATTACTTGAGTTCATCACAGTAGCTGCAGTAAAAAAGCACAAACTTTGCAACAAACGTGCATTGCTTAACAGGAACAATATTTTTGTGGTGTTATAGCAAATACTTTTTTAGTCTCTCAGTTCCCTAAGATGATTTTCCAATGTTTGCCTGCAGAACGACCCAAGCGTATAAATTGATAATCACATAAATGCTTCATTATGTTTTCATCAGTATACATTTAAAGCTCCCTGCAGACAATTAATAATTGGTAAAGTAATTGTACGAAGCTCAGTGAAGGGTGCTTTGATTAATTGTAGGTCAGGTAGGAGCAAGTTGAACTTGTATAGGGTTCGTTTTTACTTTTCAGAAACGTTCTAAACTTTAACACGCATTCAACAGACAGAAACCAGTTCATATCTGTTGCATTTACTGCAGCTGAAACTCATTTCTGATCCAGATATTTGAGAGTGAGTTCACGTCTGGTTGTATTTTACGCTTTCTAGAAATATACTAGAAATCAAGTCACATTGATGTGGGGTCACAACTAGGATCTCGGTCATATAAGATAACTTCCTTCTCTTCTGCAATATTACAATAATTCTGCCTCAAACGGTTTTTGCTTATTTGCAGGCCAGAATTCCTCGCTGTGTGACCTTGTTGAATGTTCGCTGAGTAAGGCACTTATTTCCATTGCCTGATGTGAAATCTCTGTATATCCCAAGCGAGACTCAGCCCCCTCTTTGCCAACTCATTTCAGCTTAAACCCATTTCAGCTGCCCTCATTTTGAAGCTAATTGAATTCTCCAAATTGACATTGCCCTTTTAAGACAAGAACTACGGTGGCCCTCAGGGGGCCTAGCACAACGGCATTAGTAAAGTAAAGAAAGCACAGTAAAATATAAAGATTGAACAATTCTGACGATGTTTTGAAAATGCGTCTGGAGGGTAGCTTGGCAAATCCCTTCAGTCCCTCTCTATATAATATTTATATTGTCCTGGCAATATAAATAATATATAAATAACATAAAATAATATTTGTATTTATTATTAAAAATTCTGCTATTATAGTTACACATTAAACTGGTATAGAAAAAAGTTTTAACATAAAAACAATTATGCACTTCAAGGCCAAGATAATTCTTGAAGGGACTGTAAAGTGCATTTTTCCTGAACTTCTACCGACACATGCCCTGACAGGCTGTTTTTATGTTTGGATTGGTCTGTATATAAGAACGCTTGCTTATATCTCTGAGATCTTATCTCCAGTGTGCCTTTAGGACATCTATTGACTGCGCCGCTCTGCCACTGTTCTAAAGAGAGGTGTACAAATCTATCGTCTCTTTGGGAGAGAAGTGCTCTTCGAAGCACAGGACTTCATGTAGCTCAAGAGAGAGGAAATGAAGCTCCAATTTTCGACATGGGCCGTAGTCAGGCCGAAACAGTAATATCATCTGAGAACAGAGATCTTGTGCTTTGTTGAAAAGCGTAGTCATTTGCTCCACGTCGTCGGTTAGAATATTAAAACTCTGATAATGAGACAGATAGAGCTGTAACCGACAGCAGCTCCCGAACCCAAGCATTTGTCATTTTAATTAATGTCTAACCAAGGTGACACTGATCTTGATCATCTAATTATTTAATTTATTGCTCAGTGGCCTTATGTTTTAGCAGTTAGAGGTAATGTGACGGCAGGAGTTAGATTCATTTGTTTTTACATCATTTTGATGGAACTGAAGATGAATCTATCTATCTATCTATCTATCTATCTATCTATCTATCTGTCTGTCAGTCCATCCATCCATCCGTCAACCTGTCTGTCTATCTATCTATCTATCTATCTATCTATCTATCTATCTATCTATCTATCTATCTGTCTGTCTGTCTGTCTGTCTGTCTGTCTGCCGTTCTTTCTGTCATTCTATCCATTGTTCTATCTATATCTATCTCAGAGTGTTTTTTGGTTGTTGATTATTATATATTGTTATAGTAATTACTGCCAGTTCCACCCCAGGATGAACTTCTCCGCACTTGCCTGACTTTCACTTTGCTTCACTTCATCCAAGGACAAGACTTCTTTCAGTCCAGAAGCATATCCCCTATAGGACATTTTATTTTTATAATTTTTATATTTGCATTGTATTTTATTTAAGAGAAAATAGCTTTCCGGTCTGTATAGAGGTGAGTTATCTCAAGTTCCTTTTAGATAAAGCTCAATCTGGAGATAAATTGTCTCATTGAAGCCTTATTCAAATTCACTGGGGTGTGATATGTGGGGACACGGCTGGAGTTTCTGCTCTCTGAGTCGCAGTCGCACAATGCAGTTCTGGCGGACAAAACACTTGTTCTGATTGTGCTGTCCTAAAGTTATGATATTGATCAGCAATTATGTGTTCCTGTGATTAAAGAGGCTGTCAGTCGAGTGATGTCATAATTGGTAACCATAGCGGTTGTAACACTACTGATGGCCCATGATCGATCCCATCTTGGCCGCTATCATTCTTAAGGAATTATAAAACCTCACATTTTTCTTGCTTGTTTTATTGATCATCTTTTGTTGGAGAGATTCTGCTTGAGCTTTGCTTTTTGTAATTGGGCAGTGGAGCCGATATCCCAGAGTGCTCTGGAGGGCAGGACTTTTGAACCTCTCAACATCAAACTAGACAGAAACACTTGTGTTCTCATCGGCAGAAAATGTATATATTTATACCATTTCATATAGTTAATCAATAGCAAACAAAGAGTGACGTTTTTTTTTAATGAATGATTACAAATGTGAAATGTGCTAAACAAGAAGTTAATTAAGAGACATATTAGACACCATGAATCAAACGTTTAAATGACTAGGTTCAGTCGCAATGACTCACTTATTAACAGTGACTTTCTGCCCCCTACTGGCGATTTTAATTTCACATTCAGGGTATCTTTTATTATTTAAATTCAACTTTGCCATCACAGGAATAAATTACATTTTAAAATATACTGAAACAGAAAACAGTTATGTTAAATAGCAAATTTGTGTTTTCACTGTATCTATATTCAAATAAATAAATCCCAGAAAATATTGAGATATTATTTTTTGTCAATATCGCACACTCCTAATATATATATATATATATACTACCATTCAAAAGTTTGGGGGTCAGTAAGATTTTTTTTAAGAAATACTTAAGCAAGGATGCATTAAGTTTATCAAAAGTGACAGTAAGAATTTACATTTGTGTTACCTCAAAGAATAAATTAAATGCTGTTCGTTTGAACTTTCTATTCATCAAAGAATTCAGCAAGTTGAAATCTACGGTTTCCACAAAAATAAATAAAATAAATAAATTATGTACCACCTCCTAGAGATTTATCTGGATGTTAATTTGTCAAGTCTATTGAGCCCAGAGTTCCAGGATTATCAGAAGAGTTTGTATACAGCATATAATGAAAAATGTACAATTTAATAAAGTTAGCTTCGCTTCTGGTAAGTTTCAGACTAACACTGATCTGAGGACTCAGTATTTATCTCATCTGCAGTGGTTGGCCACAGCAGTGTTTCAGAAACAGTTTGTTCTCCGGGTGAGGATGAATTTGAGTTCAACAGCACAGCAACCTCATGAGTTTCTAACTAAGGGAATTTATGTGAAATCATGGGGTTTTCAGAATAAAACAAAGAGAAAGAGGAAATATAGTAAATGGCTCTCTGGACTCTGGCCCTTGTGAGAGCAATATGGTCAGGACAGCATTTTATGTTTGTTTTTTTGTAATTGTATTGTATTATATTTAATAATTTCCTAGGTTTTTGTTCACTTTGCCAGTTTTGTTCTTAATTGCATTCTTTTTGTCTCTACCTTTGGTTTGCAAGAACAGCGAATTTCTAGACTAGTTATTCTTCAATGTCCAGTAAAGGACATTAGCCTCATGGGTCAAACCAGTCAGGGAATTTTCCTCTGAAATAGTGTGAGAATAAATGGTCTGTCATTTGATGCAACCGAAATGCATTGGTTCCTGTGGGAGTGCTGTACGATAGAGCTTATCTAATATGCAGCGTTTAACACAAAACACACTTTGTTCTAAAGAGAAAGAAAAGAATAAGGGCAAGAATAGTTCAGGCATGATCAGCATTCACTCACCTCAACCTCCGTCTCTGTCTGTATTGATCAAGCTCAGTTCAAAGCCTTGTGTCTTTTGACGGTTTGATAACATAGACACTAGTGCTGCTTGACTGCACCTGCAAACCAGTCGGCCAACAAACATGCATCTCCACCCAACAAGTCAATAGGCTGTTCAAGCAGACAGAACTAGATAAAATGAATTTAAAGCATGCAAAACACCCCTAATCGACCCAAAGTGAACCTCAAACCAATCAAATAGGTAGGTATGTAGCAAGTACCTAGCTAGTTATACAGTTTCCAAACTAGTTTACTGAAGTGTTGTGGTGTCATCCTTTAGCTGGAGTGAGTGCCAATTCTAGGCTGAGCGAAACACTGATCGATGATCATGTCGACTCTGGAGCAGTGCTTTTTTATTAGGAGACTAATTAAAGGGAAAGCTGCTCTCAAGGAAAGTGGCTGAAACATGAGAGAGAGAAAATAGGGAGGAGGGTAGGAGACATTATGGAGATGAGAGTTATGATATTAGCAGTGAACCAGAGGCTTATCCAGTGATGTTGGAAGATTTCAAATGTGTGCTTTAAGGCCACATGTGTCTTAATATTAGTATTAATATTGCATTTCTTCTCTTATTTGCATTACTTATTTTCTTTATTCTCCTCAGGGTGGCTTTTATAAAGGTGTGGCAGGATCTCAGGTGACTCTGTCCAGTTTGGTGAACCAGAGCAGGGCCATGCTGGAGGAGCAGGCCAGACATCTGCTGACCGAACCGGAGAGGCAGACCATGGGTTACTACATCCAAGAGTACCGTGATGGTCACATCGGTGTTGAGCAGCTGGTCATGGCCCTCCTTGAGCTGTTCAATACACATGCCAAGGTGGAGACATTTACGTCAGTCTTTACATTGCTCTTCCTGAAAAAAATGCATGTGATCATGTTTGGAATAATAATCTGCCACAGTTTAACAGTCTAACAGTTTTGCTCTCTACTTTATTTCTTGATTTTTTTTTCTTGATGTATTATCATATTTTGTAGTTTCTACCAAAATCAGTATTGTTAGTTATTGTTAATACTATAAAATGACTTTTTGTTTGTTTTTAATGCAATTTTATATTATTATTAATAATAATAATAATACTTATTATTATTATTATATAAATCTGAATTAATAATATATAAATAATAATAATAAGTGTTAGAATGATTTCTGAAGGATCATGTGACAGAAGAACGACTGCTGAAAATTCAGCTTTGCCATTAAAAGAGTTACATTTTAAACTATATTAAAATAGAAAAGCTATGTTAAATTGCAATAATTTCACAATACTACTGTGTTTTATAAAACATTAAAATCTCATGTCATCCCCAAACTTTTGAATGGTAGTGTAACTACTTTAATTTTCTGAATTTTATGCACAAATCTTTTTTTTTTTTATTAAAGACTTTACTAGTTGAATGAATGGTAAGCAGATAAACATCAAATTTTCATTTTTGGATGAACTATCCCTTTAATAATACACATAATACTGACACTACCCAAAATGTCCCCAGTATATTGGGCCATCATTGTCCAGAGATTTACAGTGAGTATAACCTAATAATATATTCCCATTTATGAACATATTAAAACCCTTGAGATAAAAACAATCAACACGAGCCCGGTCACATTCACGGCTCTGGATGTGTGTGTATTTGCAGTTCTCTCTGCTGTCAGAGGTGAGGGGGCTCGTGGTCCCTCAGGATGTAGAGAGATTTGACGGCCTGGTTCTGAGACGAGAGATCGAGGCCCTGAAGGCGAGGCAAGGTGGCGGAGCTGGGTTTCAAGACTCTTTCTCCATGGTTTCTTACCCTGACACACTGGCCTCCTCCTCAGCCAGCTTCATGACCAACACCACCCTCAGCTCCGCACGGGTAAGAAGAAACATCTGTGTTCAGAATGAGTTTCTATTGAATGCTTGTGTGCAATTATTATTGAATCAGACCCAGTGTCTGTATCTAGAATTTCAGGCAGGAAGTGTTTAAGGATGTGCTTCTGTATTGGTATGGGATGAGTGGATGGCATTGTTGCTGTGTGTGACATAGACATAAAAAGCCCTTCACAAAATTGGTGGGCAATTTGGGCACAAAGAAGGCGTTTGCAGATTACTAGGATACAAGATGAAGGGCTGTAAAGTTGCTGTGGGAAACAGCTTTTGTCCTTTCTGTTGGAGGCTTTTATGTCCTCCTGTCTCACTCTGTCCAGGCATGTCTCACCTCAGCTCATCTTTGTCTCGTTGTGAAAGTGCAGCTGTTTAGATTTGTAGCCATCTCAGTTCACAGGTCTTAACACCCAATTCCCTATCCCTCTCAATAAAACAGGAAAGACTCCTCTGGCTGATAGATATGATGGAGGTAGGTTAAACAATCTCTCGCTTACCTTTACAAAATGTACCATAGTAACCGTAGTTCCCACCAGCAAACCATAAAAATATATTACTGTCCTTACTTAAGTACTGTAGTAATATTCAGCGCAGTTTGTCCTGCACCATTTCTGCTGCAGATATGAACGATACCTCAAATGATGCGGATTATTGAGGAGAGGTGTGTTATTACTTTTCAGAGCGATTAGACTTATGATTTTTGCCCAGTGAGCGATGAAATGACTGAAAAAAAATCATATTAACATTAAAGGAGGTACTTGAACAATACAGTATCTAGGGACTGGAATATCATAGAGACTTATGATGGGGGTTTTTTCCCAGTAACCAACCACCCAGAACACCCTAGCAACTGCATAGCAACACAAGTCCACCTAAAACACCCTAGCAACACCAATCCACTCAAAAGACCCTAGCAACTGTGTAGCGATGCAAAAAGATTTACATAAAACACCCTAGCAATTGCATAGCGACACTAAAACTCCACCTGGAACACCCTATAAACTGTATAGCAACATAAACTAATCCACTCAGAAAACCCTAGCTACATAGCAACACACACAAATCCACATCGACAACACAAAAAACAACCAGAGCACCTTAACAACTGCAAACCCAAAACAAATCCACTCAGAACACCTTAGCAACTGCATAGCAACACAAACAAACACTATACACTCAGAACACCTTAGCAACTGCATAGCAACCCAAAAAACAACCAGAGCACCATAACAACTGAAAACACAAAACAAATCTACTCAGAACACCTTAGCAACTGCATAGCAACACAAACAAACACTATACACTCAGAACCTTAGCAACTGCATAGCAACACAAGAAAACAAACAGGCCACCTTAGCAACTCCCTAACAACCACCCACATTACCATAGAATTAAGCACCACTCAAATCCTCTTTAAAAAATTGTCATTTTTAAATACCAATTATGGATGCTTGTTTCCGCCACTGAATAAAAAAAAAAAAGGTAATTGTGATGCAATTCAGATTTTTCTTAAATTGTGAGTTGTAAGGTCAAAATTATGTGAAATAAACAAGTCAATCGCAAGTTTATATTTCACAATTCTGAGAAAATAAGTCAGAATTGTGATATATAAACTTACATTTGGTGGGAATAAAGTAAAAACAGCGAGAGAGTCAGAATTGCGAGTTTATATTTTGCCATTTTTACTTTATTTCTTGCAATTTTGACTTTATAACTAAAAAAAAAGTCAGAAATGTGAGATAAAAATTATTATCTTTTATCTATTTATTTATTTTAGCTTCCACAACCAGTAAATATAACTATGATATTTTGGTGGAAAATATGGTTACTATGGTATTTTTTTAAAAGGTATTTTTAAAATATAAAAATGCATGTTTTTTCGGTTTGGGTGTGTCTCTAGCAAACACATATATTAAAGAATGAGTTTGCTATGATGTGGTTTTGTTTTTAATACACACTCACACATACAGGAACATAATACAGCACAGTTATGCTCAAAGTACACTCAAAGTCACTCATGTCTGTGTAAATGTGTGGGTTGCAGTGATCAGACATAAGTACATGCATGCATGTCGCAAATCAAAAATGTGTCGCTGTGACTTTGTACCTCTTCAACATGGGTCGTGTGTGTGTGTGTGTGTGTGTGTGTGTGTGTGTGCGCACTTTGGAAATGAGCGAATGTATTTGTATGCAAGCTTTGTTTGTGGCCCTCCTCTGTGGATTGGTGTTGTTGTAAGCTTGCCAGCTCTGGCTCTGGTAATTACAAGAAGCAGCGGCGGCGGTCCACACTGCAGCCCCGCAGAGCTCCTTCAGACGAAACGCTCGCTCTGGGACTCTCATCCTGGTACCGCACCTCATCAGCCATATGCAGAGCTGTCACCGCAGATAAGCCCCCCCCGACAAAATAAAAAAAGAAGAAAAGGTGTCGCAGAGAGCGTCCTGATTTATGCAGCAGGGGATTGTGGGAAGGTGGAGGACCTGAGCCAGTACAGTGCAATGTCTTTCTGAGTCTGCTCTGCTGTCTTAGTTTGAAGGAAGGGAAGGGAAGGGAACAAAACATTGTGTCCAGCCAGATTTGCTGAATGGGTCTCCAGTGGTTTGATGTCATTGGCAAATTTTTGCACTTAAAAGATTGTAGCTTGAAGAACCTTTTGAAGCACCTTTATTTTTAAGAGTGTAGTTAGTATTTTTTTTTATTATTCAGCAAGTGACAGTAAATACGCATTTTGAAAATCATGGTTTCCAACAAAATATTAAGCAGCACGACTGTTTTCAACATTGATAATAATAATAAATGTTTCTTGAGCAGTGAATCAGCATATTTGTATGATTTCTGAAGAATCATCTGAAAGACTAGAGTAATGGCTGCTGAAAATTCAGCTTTGTGATTACAGGAATAATTGCATTTTAAAATATTTAAAAACAAAAAAGTTATTTTAAATTGTAATTATACTGTACTATATTAGTTTTTACTGTAGTTTTAATCAAATAAATTGGTGAGCCTTGGGTGATTATTTCTTTCAAAGAGTTTTTTTTTCTTTTCAAAATATAAAAAAAATCTTACAAACTCCAAACTTTTGAGTGGTAGCATATATATGTGTATGTATATTTATGAAACTGATACAAAACTTGCATCATTTTGATACAAAAATCACTGAAAATAATAACTTGCAGTTCAGTTAAAGTTAAGGGTTAAAAGTTCAGTTAAGGATTCATTAGACTGAGTCAATCTGGTAACTCTTTTCTCTCTCTCTCTCTCTCTCTCTCGCTCTCTTTTTTTTTTTTTTTTT